TTTACTTTTGAATTCACGACCTTAAAATAACGTTATAGCCACTCTAACGCACATACATACATATGCATACTTGGGACCATTTTCAATTTTTTATCTCAAATTAAGCTCAACGCGATTGGAGTCAAAGTCTGTGCAACCGCGTTGCATTGCCGGCTCAATGGCCCCCTTTGGCACTGTGGCAAAACCAGTAGCACTAGTGCTCACCACTTGCTTTGTTTTTATTTTCGATTATCAAATGCACTTAAGACACACCGCAATCAACAAACAAGAAGCCAGAAAGCAAAATCATAGCCACTGTAGAAGAAGAAAATCAAGACATAGAAGAACACATAAAAATAGAAATGGAATACAAGAACTGAACAGACTCGAGCAACAATTGAAGGCATTTATTTTCAGTGAGCATGTGCACATGGATGTATGTATGTATATACAGTGGCAACAGATAAAAATCGGCAATTATATCTACTTAAAACTCTTATTTTCCCGAACTAGAAAAATAATGGTCAACATTGCTTAGATAAACATAGACTTGTGCTCAGCTCATTAAGTTGAGTGACATTATGGCCAGTTTTGGTTATTTCTCTTTTGTTTATTTAATGTTAATAGTTTTTTTTTTATAAAAGTCTAGCCCGCATAACCAGCACCACATAAATCCAAGTTTCACACATCTTACAAAAATTATACAAATTCAACAAACTTTAACAATTACACCTACAAGTTTTAAATTTTTTATTAAACATTTTTGGAAAAATTGTCGTAGTATACTTTATATGGTAGAAAATTCTCAACATCGTCAGCGCAATAAATTATTGAAAATCAACGCGATTTTCTAGCGTTTTAAAATGTGCACTTTAACGTAATAAAATTTAATGTCAGGGTTGGCACCTCACGAAACCGATTGTGTAGCAAAATACCAGAAAAATTTACTTTATTTGAGGCGAACTTAACCTTTTGCCTCTGTTGAGCCGCTGTTTATCTGTGGCAACGAATCTATCGTGGAAGTAGTTCTACACGGCAGTCATTGTGACTTATTTGTGCAACTTCGTATCTTTCTCGGACATTGAGTCTGTTATGCGAAAATTTGACTGGTGGTGCCTATTTATATTGGTCAGACGCCTCTTGCACAATTTGCAGTAAGAGTATACATTTAGATCTTGAAGACATTTACTATTTACCACATTTTTCTAGTAATATTTAGTGATTTAGTGACAATAGTTGCTGCCCATAAGTTGAATGAAATATGTATAAAAAGCGTACATAGGATAAAGCGTAGTGGGGTAGCAAATTTTAAAAATTTTAAAAATCGTAGCAAATTTACTACGATCGTTGCAAAGTGCCAACGCTAGTCCTCGTTACCCACCAGACCCATTCCCTGTTTTTGGTCTTTTTGATTTTAAAAAGCCTCCGGTAGCAAACAATGCACATTTAGATATCTATCCGATGTTAGTCTGTATTACAGACTCTATACTAACACACCCCGCATAAGTTTAAGTGAGAGCTTAGTAGCACATTTCAGATTTTAGCGTGGAAGACTAGCACATTTCACTATTCGCGTGGAAGAGTAGCACATTTCAGAATTTTGCGTGGAAGAGTAGCACATTTCAGATTTTTGCGTGGAAGAGTAGCACATTTCAAATTCTCGCATAGAAGAGTAGCCAATTCATATAAAGTGGTACTAGCAGCCGTACAAAAACCAAACATGCATGTTTGTTATAATTATTTCTCCTCGACTAAGCTGAGAGTTTAATGTTGTGTTTTATTACAAATAGAATAAACATTTATTTTCCTCCTACTTGTTTTGGCGCATATTCGCGTCTTCCTCAGGGAATCTATTTATAAATACGAGAAACATATATGTACATTAGGGTGGTCCAAAAAATGCATGTAAAAAAGTAAAGTCGGATATTTTTTTTATGGAAAACTTCGAGCGCTTTGAGCGACATTTAAATATTTTTTGATTTTAATATAAAAAAATAGGGGTACATTTTTTTCTATATAGAACAATCCTAGGGGGTGAGAGCATTACAATTCCGACTTTACTGTTTTTGGAACACCCTAATGTGCATGCAGTCATATCAAGAGCAGCTCATTTCAAAGTGATATTGTTTTCCACTTAATTTTATTTATTTATTTTTAAGAATTTTCATTAAAATAAAGTTTATTCTCTGAAGAAGTCCATATAAACCCAAATTTAAAACTTTGTAGAAAACTAAAAAAATCTAAAAATATTCATCCAAATGTCAAAATTATTTTCTCAGAATTTTTTGAGTATACAGATTTAAAGCCATTTCAATTTTATTGCAATAATGTGCAAGTTTCAAGTGGCTAAAAATTTCTGTTGTTGCGGTTTTCTTCCATATAAAAATATTAAAAAATAAAAAATTGTGTTTATTCGTTATATGGTAGCAAATGCGACAAAAAGAATCAAAGGTTTTAAGGCTCTTGAAACTTGCACATTATCACACTAAAATTGAATCGGCTATAAAGCTTCATACTCAAACAAATTTTAACACTTCTGAGTAAATAAATTTGAATAAGAATGAAAATTAGTTGATTTTTTTTAAGATTTCTACAAAATTTTAAGCGTGGGTTTACATGGTTTTTTTTAAATTAACTTTACTTTAATTGAAATTGAACATACTGAAAACAATATTTCAATGGTTAACCATAAAACAATATGAATTGCATAAAGCTTAAAGAGGAAAAATGCCTTAAAAAAAAAGAAAAGTGGATGATCTCCAGCAAATGATCACTAAACGCTATATAGCGTCTGAATTTCATGAGTTTTATAATAGCATTATAGAAATATAAAATAAGCACTTGAATTTCCGATATAAATTATGCTTTTATGATTTGGTTTAAACCCTAAATGTGCTACTCTTCCACGAAAGTAGTAATATGTGCTACTATTTCACGCGAAAATCTGAAATGTGCTACTCTTCCACGCAAATAGTGAAATGTGCTACTTTTCCACGCGAAATTCTGAAATGTGCTACTTTTCGACGCGAATAATGAAATGTGCTAGTCTCCCACGCTAATAGTGAAATGCGCTAGTCTTCCATGCGAATAGTGAAATTTGCTACTTTTCGTAGGGACCGACGATGTAATAGTGGTCAAACTGTTGTGTAAAGCAGGCGTGAACTTCGATCATCTACTAAAATCTCCAAACAAAGACAAATTTTTACTGCTTGTATTAAAAATCAATCTTTCGTCCTCCATGGTCGTATTTATTATGTTTAAATATTTGCGTCCAAGCGACATTAACATTCTTTTCCTATTTTCTAATTTGCAGCTTGGTCCAGCGTTGCCGTTTTGCTAAAATTTGTAAGCAAACTTGATTAGGTTTTCCTTGACTGTTTAAATATACATTTTGTCTTCATCTTGCTTACTTAAAGTACGTTTCCACGAGTCCATTACCGTAGCCGTTACTGAATGTAATTCTGCCATGGTTGCAAGTTCCGCTACATATTTGTGCCAACAGACAAACATATACTCTCTCGCTTATGGTTGCCATTTTGTGATTACATTGTTTCCATTTGTAAAGGTGCTTACAAGACTTACACTTGCTACAAATCTTGCTTCCATTTTTTTTAAGATTTACAGCTTTGGTGTCTTCACGCTAAAACAATGCCCCAAAAAACGCACCAAGTGCCAAACTAAAAATTGTTTGCGTTTTGAATAAAGAAAAGCACTAAATTTAGTGCCGAGGGCACACCAAGTTGACAACAGTGGCCATAACCATAACGCCATAGTCATGAGTCATGACTTTGTCAAATGCTTCAGACCTGCTTATGGTTATGGCGAAAAACCAAAACGCAATAGATACCTACGGTTATGGTTGTGGCTACGTTGTTATGGTATGCCACCAATAATCGCTTACAGAGCTGCCCATAAGTTTGATCAGAACGGAAAATTGCTAAGGCTATGGTATTGCACCACTAATTGGGCCTTATTCCTGAAGTTATATGAGTAGTCAGGGGACGACTGTTTTGTTTTGCAGGTTCGTCGTCGGTAATCTCTTCAGCACATTTAACGTTAATAATTTGAATTAATTTTTGCGGGGTGTATGACAATTATTGTTGGCAATCATTTTAAGTGATTTCTTAGTACTCCAATTACTCTTTCAATGATGTTGCGGGCTTTGGCCTGTTGGAGATTGCAAATATGTTCTGAAGTTCCAGCACTGGGATCGCGACAAGGAGTTAGCTGCGATAGATCCAACATACAGTAGAGTGTTCGATTATTCGCCTTTTTCTAAAACCGGGTTTCGAGTTACTTGAAAAACCTACCTGTTAGGAAATTAAGAAAAAACCGGACAAAGCGGTTTTTTTTAAGTACATAGTTTTCTTATGTTGGAATGAAGCCTTTACCAAAAATCACAATAAAACTATTTACAGTAAAGATGGCTTTTATTTAGAATCCTATTGAAAAGTTTGAAACCACTTATAATTTGTTTTTTTTATATTGAAAAATTCTAAGAAATGTCGTAAATGACTCCGACCGTTTAAATGAAAGGTATTATATAAGTACAGCTTGAATAGCAAATTAGTGAATGGACTTTTCCAAAGCTGATAAAATCAAAGTTTACCTTCATGTATCTATAAAAGTGTTATACTTTAATAATAATAAAATTTGTTTCCATATTATATTCCGATTCAGAAGGAAATTTTCCATGTGAAGTGATGGTCAATTGGCTAAACTTAGAATTATTTAAATAAAATCAATTCATAATGTTTAAATAAAATCACCTCACAATGCTATGTAATTAATCCTTGAAAATACAAAAAGAAACGGTTTACTCCTATATTGCGCCTATGTATGTATTTTACGCATTGAGTAAATACTATCTATGTGTTGCCAGTTCTAAGGTTGGTAATTAACAGATTTATTCTTCTATGCACCAGATGCGCTAGCAAACCACGCTTGTTCATGAATATTGAAAGGTATTTCTAGTATCTATTAAGATATTTATTTATACATTTAGCTAGAATTGCGTCTTGAAAAGTGTAGGGTATAGCAAAGCGCGCCGGGAACGCTAGTTTAATATTAAGATTGTCCAACTGGTTCGTAAGATATACGTGATTAAGTGGAACCACTTTTTTTTTTTTTAGCTGAATAACGGCAAATTACAAATGTCTTAAAAACTTGTCCATCGGGAAAGAACCGATTTTAGGAATCAGCGAGCGATTCTACATGGGAGTTGTATAGTGACATCCGGTGCTAAGAAATAAAAATAAAAATTTGTGATATAAAGCTATACAACCTTTTATTATTGAATTATGCTATGTTCATTACATATGTACGTACATTTTGCGCCGATTCGAGTGCCTTTTTGGTATTTTACCATCGCTTCTTCTGTTACTACCGCTGCTACCTTTGAAGAAATTGGCATAACAAAAGCATTCGAGTATCCATATAATATGTATGTAAATATGTGCATACATACATATGTGCATACTAGGGTGGATAACTACTTTTTTACTATGGAGGTATGGCATAGGGTCATTCTACTTGAAATTCTAAGCAAATTTGCCGAAGTAACCACGAGTCTCGAGCTCGCCAAGTTGTCAATTTAGTTAGATGATATATATTATCCATATTATTAAGAGTAACAATTCTATAAATTCCACAAGGTCATGGGACTTTGCCGAATCATCTAATAATAATAGATTGGCATTTACACATATTATATTGTTTGGCCGAGTTCTCCTCCGAATTGTGGCGTGCGCCTTGATGTTATCACACCAAGGGGAGGGACCTACAGTTTTACGCCGACTCCCAACCGCGATTGTATTTTTATGAAAAGCTGTTTTTATGGAGGTTTGCTATTGCCTGCCGAGGGGCGATCGCTATTAGAAAAAAAAACCTTTTTGGTTGTTATTTTTTTGATATTGGGTTGAACCGGGCTTTAACGCACTCCGCTGCCCTTGCTCACACGAAATTTAACTTTCTCTCCCTTTTGCGATCGTTTCTCCCTCACACGCGTTTTGCGAACCCCTGCAGTCTGCAGCTTGACATTTTTTCGATGGTATAATCAGCAAATCCTGACACATTTGAAAGTGCGATCCTGCTGCTATAAAACCCGCGATTTTCCATGCCATTTGCCGATCTCTACAACGCAGCTGATTTTAGATTAGGTATTCATTTTGAAAAAAAAATATTTAAACCAGGTTTTAAAAGTTGCATGGCCCTAACAAAGGGAAGATAGGTAATATGCTTTTATTGCAAAATACTTTATACATGCGTCAAAGAAGTCAGGCTATGAACTTTAAACCGCATGGCCTAGAAAACTGAAATGTACATATATGTATATGGAATTTGAAAAATACTCCTTTACTGAAACGTGCATATTATCGACATTACTTAAGTTAAGACAATATTATATTTTTGAACAGCTAATTAAACGCTATGGCTATTTTAATGACGAATGGGTTTTAAACAAGGAATTCAGGCAGTGGCTGCTTAAAGAACACGATTGTGCAAAGTGTGCTCGACAATTTTTTTTTTGTTTGGAATAAACTGCCTAAAGAGAAATTCCCAAAAATCAACACGATTTTTTATTAATTTCAAAATGCCGACTGGTATGCAAATTTTCTCCCGAGTTTTGCAAAAGTTTAGAGATTTCTTTTATATTTTCTGTTGTAAATTGTGAATAATCCCCTGTGCACTGTTGCTTGTAAAAGAACTTGCTTGAGTGCGCATTTCCAACAACTTCAAAATTTTGGCAATAAGATCTTCATTTTATTAATTTTAGTCCTAAACAAAGCCTTAAGCAAAAATTTTCCCGAATTCTACCGTAATAGATAAGTCTAGAATTGGAATCCCTTATACCAAAAACCCGTTATAGTAGGGATGCCTACGAAAAATTGTGCGAGAGCTGAAGTTGCAAAAAGCGCAAATCGAAGGAGGTTTGTGTGAAATTCGAAGAATACTTCCTCGACAGACCCAACAACCAAATTACTTACCTAAATATCGCCCATTAAAAAAACTTATGTTAATGTGTGTTCGACATTTATAAAAGTTTCAATAACCACAATAATATCAAACAAGCAATGACACCGAATGCGAATTAAAGTGTGGTGAGCGCCGAATTGCGACGAACTCCCAGGAACTCAACGCAGAGGTGGTGGTTGGTATTATTGGTTTTTTTTTTGAAGAACTGGCCAGCTCTTCTGTTCTATGGCGGCAGCAACTCAGTCTTATAGCATTTCTTTTAATAAAATATTTAAACACTTTTTTACGGCACTACAGGAAAACAAAATGTTGCTAAGGAAAATTAAACCTATTTTAGCTGATTGGCGAGCTCGAAATTGATTTTAATCCCATGGTTTCTTTGGAATATTCTCTTAGAATTTCAAGAATAAAACTCTTATACCCTGCCCGTACAGTGGAAAAAACTTCCTGTCTAAATTAACTCGCCCTAGTGCACTGATAACTACGTATGTAAGTACATATATGCATGCATTCTCCTGGTAGATTATCGCCCGTACGCCCCAGCAATGTAAAGTACGTGTCTCGACTTCAACTCCCGTTTCCGTTTGATGTCTCAGTGCTGGGAACGTGTGCCTTGTCGGTGCTTGCACTTCTTACCTAAACGGAAGCGACTTATTATAAAAATAAAACAAACAAAAAATTTATAATGCGCAGAAAGAGAAACAATAATACTAAACTTGAAGTCAGTCATTGCTATCAAATATCTACTCCGAACCCCCGCCTTCCATATTTTGTAAGCCAACGAGTATTGACGCGGGTACGAAAAACAATAACAATTCTGTAGATTTGCAGTTTTAGTCAACTTGGAGCAATGTGGGGAACTTATTGATGCATACATACATACATATCTAAGTATGTACATAGTAAATGAATTTATGTGTGCAAGTGCATTTATATCGGCAAACATATGTACATATGTGCAAGTATGTACATTAGGGTGGTCCAAAATTTCACGTGAAAAAAGTCGGATTTTTAATGTTCCATATCGAAAAAATATAGCCTTGTTTTTTTTTTTAAATCCAAAAATACGTACAGGTCGCCCAAAGAGCTCAAAGTTTTCTATGTATATTATGTGGGGAAAAAACTATTTTCCGTAGAAACAGTATAGAGCTCTTGAAAGTCAGTATTTTTTAATTGACAAACTCTGCTTCTCTACAGGAGACTTCAAATAATAATACTCAGTTGTTAAATTCACCATTTAATAATATCAACAATTGCATTTTTTTGTGGGCCCATAAAAAATAGTTTATATTAAAGGGTTTGCTGATTGATGAATATCGATTTTCTAGGATTCTTTAATATTTCAACGAATAATTGTTTTCCCCATTTACAATACATGCGAAACCTTAATCGCTTTTAGCGACCTCTAACTTTTTTTATTTAAAGAAATACAAGGGTGGATAGAGAACAAACGTAAGGGGTCAAGGCATTGAAATTCCGACACTACTTTCTTTGGACCACCCTAATAAACATAAATCAGTGGTGGGCACGATCACACTGTCACATATTGCGAAGTGTGTGTTGCAGCCAACGTCGCTGCGAGCTTGAAACAAAAGTATCAGTTGCCAAGCAGAAAAAGTTACAAAAGCGAACACAACTGATATAATTTTAACTTTTATTTGAAAAATAAATAATAAATACAATTTGATAATTAAATCCATAGTTATAAAAAAAAATTTAATATTAATTGCCTTAACAAAAACAGAATCTGCATGCTTATTTGTATAACGAAAAGCAAACTTATAAGGCCTCTAAGCCACACAAAATCATTGCGCAATATCGGGCTCGCGTCGGTCGTTATACAACGGCGTGTGCAAAGAAATTCCGGGATGTATTTTCCTTATAAGAGTATCCAAATCAAACTTATAAAAAAATATTTAATTTTAAGACATTAAATAACAGAATAAAGTTATTTACCTTTGAACTATGTAGTAATATTATTCATAGTTTTCAAAAATTTATTTCTGCCAGCCAAGATATCAAAATGGGGCATTTGTGAATAAAAAAGTATCAAAGTATCAAATCACAAAATTTAGAAAAAAAAGTATCACAAATGATACAACTGTATCAAAACGGCAATGTTGGTTGCAGCGCCGTCTGACTTAACAGCAATCACGGTTGCCAACTTGGTGCTTTTCGCACGAAATCTAGTGATTTTCTTCATTCAAACTTTTAGAGTTTAGTGCTTGGTGCGTTTTTTGGTGCTTTTGTTTTTAGTTTGAAGACACCAGATCAGTAAATCTTAACAATAAGGGGCAAAATTTATAGCAATCGTAAGTTCTGTAATAAACTTCACAAAAATCAAAACAAAATCATGTCACAGTGACAATCATAAGCGAGAGGGCATATGTTTACCCACAATATAGAGAATAATCAAAATGGAGTGGGATTTGAAGAGTAGACAGCATTTTTGACACAAAAATATTTTTCCCACAAAAGGAAAATCAAACTTCGTTATGTTTCAGGTGTTAAGCTGTCGAAAAGAAAAGTTCTTTATATTCCTTTATTTCACAAGAACATAAGAGACTGCAGCGTAATTCAAACTACCACATAGTTCATGAAACTTCATTTCTGGGTTTTGCCTTCGTTTGATAGGAATTGTAGTAAAAATTAAGCAAAACAAATAAAATTTTAACATTTAAACAGTCAGGAAAAATTAATCAATTTTGCTTAGATCTAAACGAAACGGCAACGCTGGACACAGCTGCAAATTAAAAAATATAAAATAAGAACAAGTATCTTAGCGTCGCTTAAACGAAAATATTTATAGAAAACAGAGTAAATTCGAACGTCGAGGAAAAATCATTGATTTTTATTAATTTGAATCGGCATCCCTACAATACAATTTTTCATGCATACAAAGTCCATTAAATACTTCGATAAAAATGTGCTGCTTTTTTCGAGAAAAAACGCGATTTTTCTTGGGTTTTAGTGCTTTTTCAAATTCAAAACTTGGCAACAGTGCAACACTTTGGCAGCGAAATACAATAGGGGTATTCTCGAAGTCTCGTACGATGCACGGATTGCACGAAATGCAAAAATACTATTCCAAATTTCGAAGAGTACGAGAGCTCCCCATTGCAAAGTGGTAGCATGCATGGGTAGCAAGCAGCGAAATTATGTATCAAATACAATAACAAGAGACAGCAAAAAAAAATGAAGTCAGCGAGATGAGAGGAATGAGAGAAATATGTAGCGATTCCAACAACAAAACAACTAACACAGGGTCGCATTTATTTTGCTATGCTTTTTTGGAAAATATATACATGAGTTTCGACGTTGCATATTTTGCAGCGATAGGAAATGGTGTTTCCCATATGTTTGTTGTTGTGTGTTTGGAAGTTATGCAATCCGTGCTACGTGCAACGGCTTTGCAAAATTTGAAGAATACCCCTAATATATTCACTCGTGAATAGGAAAACTAAAAAATGTCCGACACTGAAATACATACATATGTGTGTATACATATAAGCTAGCTTAAGGCTGGTTTTCACTATGTGATATTTTGACGCCTAAATTTGTCGACGTGGTTGACACAACTTTATCTCCTTTATCCATACCTTTACCGATGATATTATGGCCCAAAACAGACAGCTAGCCGATTTAGCCACGCTTGTACTGGACTAAAGACCTATCCTGATCGAAATCAGTCGACGTACCGTTTTTTGACAATGTTCTTTCACTTATTTAAGCCAAATGAACCTAAGTGAATTTTATATAGCCTTAAGTAAATATGCCTATAATAAAAAGTAGGAAACGTATCCAATACCGCAACGCGAACGCAGCGTCTGATGTATATTTACAAGTACGAGTAAGGTTGTGACTTAGGACCGGTTGTTCAATGTCTGGTTATCACTACTTGCCGGTTAAACATAATTATCGACGTTTTCGACATAATGCATGTGATCGATAAAGTCGTTTTATTTAACCGGAGCTTCCACCTCCGATTAGTGCTAATCAGACATTGAACAACCGGCCCTTAAACATAAAGATATACAGCTTTTATTTTTCCATTTAACAATTATATACATATTGAAGTGACATTTATGCGGGTTAATGCACTGCGATTGGAATCTTAGCAGTGTGCCAAGACAAGTGGAGCAGAGGCTCCAGCTTTTAGATAATGAGCAAGAGTTCGGCTTATACGCATGTGAGCAGCTTGCGTCTACATGTACATACATATGTACTTATGTATGTGTATATGTATGTATGTACCTTAGGGTGATTCAAAATATCTAACCTAATGAATTCATGGCCTTACAAGGACCTATTTACTGAAAAGGAAATTCTCCCATTTGGAAATACTTTTTTATTCCAATTTTGAAAGGTGTCAGTGAGCGTTTGAAATTTTCCATGTAAATAACATATACAAAAATTTGTTTTCATTAAAAAAGTTATAACTATCCCAACAAGCAAAATACACTTACAGAAAATTTTTTTTAAGTTTTCAATTATAAACATTAAGCTTACAAAACGTTGATTTTTTGTTTATAAAACGCTTGAAAAGCTTTTTATAAACATTTTTATAACCCTTCATTTAAAGATATTCCATTAAAAACTCATACATAGATTGCTTAACATCTAGAAACTAAACGAAATGCGAATTTTCGGCGGACTCATCTACAGTCGCGAAAATATAAATAGGGAATAGACATTTTAGCATACAAATTCACAATAACACATACAAATTAAGCATAAAAAAGTTAATTATTACATCTTGTTGCGTGCTTTCAATTACTTGCGGTTATTGACAAATTGGAAAAGCGACATCGATGCAGCTATATATTCCGCTTCATCGCCGCCATTCTCATTGATGAACTTTTCTGAAAAAAATTTAATACATTTTTAATTGAATGTTAAACTAAGAAAGGATAAGGGGAACTCATCATTTGAAGACTCGAATGCTCCACCGATTAGCGCAGCGGGTCCTGGATTGGACTTTTTTTACCACATCGGTTTTATTTAATTTTTTTTTTTAAATATATATTTTAAAAAACGAAAACGCGTCACTTACGATTGAAAAAATTTTATATTTACTACTTCATGTCGTTGGCATTTACATTTCATTTATAAGTTTAAGTTATTTATAAACATTCGCTCTCAAAACTTATTAAAGGTTTATTTGAAAAAACTTTTAATAAGCTTAATATTAAAAATGCTTATTTAACGCTTATTATAGCAAACTTAATTTAAGTTATTTTTAAAAACGTTTACTGAAATGCTTGTTGGGTAAGTATTGAACCGTTTGAGGTACACATTTTTTCTTGGCATATTCTTGCAGGGCAATAAATACTCTAAAAATTACCCTAAATTTGGTTGTTTTAGATACGATTAGGAGTATTAAATATGATAACGATATTGCTAAACGATAACAAATTATAATCCAACTTTAACGAAATATGAAGACAAAAGCGATTTCTTTTGCAAGCAGTGCAACTACACCGCCAGCAGTATCCTGATTGCAGTTAACTGAACTTTATTAATAATTAAAAGGAATATTAATGTTTAAAAATGCAAAAAAAAGTAAATTAAAACTCGCTCTTCTCTGACAAATCTACCTCAAAATCAACATTTTCTACATATATGTACATATTTTGTATCATTTTAGTGTAATTATTTTTCATTTAGCATGAATATTCCCGATAATA